ATTTGGAATTGGAATGTATTAAATGAGATTAATATGTCATTATGATAATGATAAGATTATTCAGGTTTTGTGTTGAACAGTCTAGTAAATGTAGCATTATAGGGAAGTTCATTTTTTAAAAATTTTAACATTTTATTTATTTTCCTGTTAAGTACATATTGTTTAATATAATAAAGTGTGTACAATTAAATACTCCTAAAAAATAAACATGAGCATACACATTCCCCTAACGTATCTTTAAAAAAATTTACTGTTTGGGGCCTGGCCAAATAGCTCAGCAGATTAAAGCATCTGCAAGCAGGCACAGAGTCTGGGGGTTCAATCCCTAGGGCTGTAGTGCCAGCCCCACCCCCGGGGCATGCTGAAACTGGGTGTGGTGGTATGCGCCTATAATACCAGCACTTGGGAGACTGTGAACAGGAGAATCACTACAAGTCTGATCTAGTAGTGAGATCCTGAACACTCTGTAGACCCTTCCCTAAAATACAGAAGAAAAAAAAATTACTGTGTTTTTTTTTTTTTTTTTTTTCATTTTATGTATTTGGTACAGGGTCTCACTATGCAGCTTGGACTAGTAGTGATCCTCTTGTTTTCAGCCTCCTCCTACTGTGAGAATCTTTACACTGCTTCCTTTACAGAAAAATCAACCAGGGAAGTTCATTTTATTCCCCTACTCCACCATCTCTGGGCTTGTGTTATTTCAAATTGCTTTCTCTTATTTCTTATCTATGGGGTGTGTGTGTTTTAAGTCAATATTTTTTAAGTCAATTTTTAAAATTTTTTAATCTTTTTTTAAAACTTTTTTTTTTTAATTTGTGTGTGTGTGTGTGTGTGTGTGTGTGGCCAGCTCAGCCCACCAGGGGGCGGGGCTGGCTGGCATGTGGTGCTGGAGGATTGAACTGTGGTCCCTGTGCTCTGCTAAGCTTGTTCTAAGTAGCTGCTTTAGACAAACACTGAGCCATCTCACGAGCCCTATTTTTTAATCTTTATTTATTTGGTACAGGGTCTTGCTACGCAGCTCAGACTGGTAGTGATTCTCCTGTCTCAGCCTCCTCAGTGCTTGGATTACAGTCAGGCACCACCTCACCCAGCTTTGATGGCTAGCTCAGTGTGGGGGTGGGGGGCACGGCAAGGGGGTCTGTGCACTTGCCAGGCAGGCCCTTAGACTGCTGAGCTATCTCCCCAGCCCTATCGTGTGTTTTAAAATGTTACTATTGATTTTTTTTTTCTACAAGTGATAATGAACTAACATCTTCACTAGAATAAGAAAAAGTACTTGTGGGGCTGGTGAGATGGCTCAGTGGTCTAAAGCACCTACTTAGAACAAACTAAGCCAAGCAAAGCACAGGGACCGTGGTTCAATCCCCCAGCACCACATGCCAGCCAGCCCCGCCCCCTGGTGGGCTGAGCTGGCCACACACACACACACACACAAAATAAATGAATAAAATTTTAAAAAAATATTAAAAAAAAAGAAAAAGTACTTGTGTGCAGATAATAGAAAAATTAAGGGCCTGGGAGATACCTCAGTAGAATAAGTGCTTGCCTGGCAAGCACAAGGTCCTGAGTTCAATCCCCAGTACCAGAAAGAAAGAAAGAAAAAAAGAGCAAGAAAGAAAGAAAGAAAGAAAGAAAGAAAGAAAGAAAGAAAGACTGATTAAGCATTTTTACAGATGTTCACATATAAAGGCAAACAAACAAATGAATATAAATATTGTTTTTAGAAATTTGCTATTTAAATATTTTATATCAAGTTTATTCTCAAAAAATTTGGTAATTTTTAATTATAGTAACAATATAAATATCCTTGGTGTATTCAAAACATTTCATCATTGGGCATTGGGCAGTGAGAGTACACATGTGATAAACTCCCTGAGTTAAACTTTTTTATTATTTATTATTATTCATTTTAAAGAGAACAAAAAATAATAGATAAGACATTAGAACCAATACATACCCTAAAATAAAAACAAAATGATAGGTATTCAACAGTGGTTGTTATAGTGTACATTGTTGTCTTTAATGTAGTTGTTCAGATTACCAGATATAGGCATGTAAAATTGGGCAAATTTTAAGCTTTAACTGCTATCTTCAAAAAACCAATAGAAATTAATAGTACAATCATCTTCACTATCCTGTTTATATACACATATGGTTTTTCATCTTATGTTTTACAATTTTCATTCTTTAGCAACTTTTCCTCAGTTTACCGTGTGTGATTTTCCATGAATAGTGTTGTTTTAGTTCCCTTCCATGTAATTTTCTATAATTATTATAGAAGTTGTACAGGGAAAATGTTTTGGGACTTTTTTGATTCACTGTTCACAAATACTGATGTTTGAATCAAAGGAAAATGACTTTTGTCATCAGTTCTATTGGTCATTAACTTCAGGATTTTTTTGTGTTTACTGAACAATAATCACATCTATCTGCAAGTATAATAACACGATATATTCACTGGAGAGATTGTAAAGAAGTCTCTGGTTTGATGAGTTTAGCAAAATTGAGTGGAAAGGAGATGAGTGTGGATTGTATGAGTTGGTTCTCCTTGCATAAGTCGTACTATGTTCTACATCTCAGTACACCTCAGTTTTGATTTTTCTCTAGATTTGGTCTTATTTTATAATCTCTCTCTCTCTCTCTCTCTCTCTCTCTCTCTCTCTCTCTCTCTCTCTCTCTCTGGCAGGCCCTTGTGCTTGCCAGGGAAGCTCTTACTCTACTGAGCCATCTCCCCAGCCCCCTCATTGTTTCTCTTGAGTCAGATATGTTTTATATATTTTAGAGATTTGTGCTCATTCATCTTTACTCTCTACACAAAATCTTTGTGTTTTGTACACAATAAATAATTTAACTCGTTTTATGTATTTCCCAAGGGTTTCATAGACTTCAAATTCTCCTTTGAATTCTGATGGCTAATTTTTTGGAAAAATAATTTATTGTATCTAAAAGTTATTTCACTTTGTTTAGTGAAATCTTGTTTTGTTTTTAATGCAGTTTTTTTTCTATTACTATTTTATATTCTTTAGAAATAAAAAATTAAAAATAAATAAGTTATTTCACTTTAAAATCCTATGGCATTCAACCTTATCTTTCCCTGCTCAATATTTAATTTATGTATATGAAATAGAAATGTATACAATCTAGATTTACAAATACTTACCTGGTTCTCCCTGAACATAAGTGAAACATTATTATTTTCAGATATGTTTAACACAAAGTGCATCATGAATCACTGGTCTATTTACATGTGGAACCATACAAGGCTCCTTTCTTTGCTGAGACCCTTTTGTCATTCTACCAATCACTGATTGTAACAAAAAGTCTAAAATGAATGTGCTCTATGTAAAGTATTCAAACCTAGCTCATGAGTTATTGAATGTTGTCAGTCTTCTGTTGTTTTTTTTTAAAAGTTATTTATTTATTTATTTATTTTGTGTGTGTGTGGCCAGCTCAGCCCACCAGGGGGCGTTCTGGCTGGCATGTGGTGCTGGGGGATTGAACCGCGGTCCCTGTGCTTTGCTAAGCTTGTTCTAAGTAGGTGCTTTAGACCACTGAGCCATCTCACCAGCCCTCAGTTTTCTGTTGTACTGCCCAGCTATGAGGTTTTTTTTGAACAGCGCAAAGGAGTGACTTGTAAGTGGCACAGCATTTGAAGTTTTCTTTTTGTGGGGATAGTCTGTCCCAGGTTTTCTGATGGAAGTTGGTTTTTTTTTTTTTTTTTCCCATGGAAGTCTTGACTGGTCTTGAGATTGCCTCATAGCTAGAGCTGCCTTTTAAGCTCTTGGCAATCATCCTACTGATGGGAATCTCCCTAAATCATCTTCCCAAGTGCTGTGATTACCACACACAGGTCCCACCACACCTGGCTGAAGTTTTCCATTTCTAATTAGTGTCTAATGACTTTGTGACTTCATTATCAATATGTTCACTATATCTTCCAGATACCCTTGCTCTGGTTAATCTCACTTGAACAGTCTTAGAAATTCTTATATGTGGGGGAAAAAAAAAAGGAAGAAAGAAAGAAAAATTTGTTAAAGGCCTGCTCAGCCCACCCCGGGGGCAGGGCTGGTGCAGCATGTAGTGCCGGAGAGCAAACTGCACCTGCATGCTTGCCTAAGCAAGCACTTTAGACCCCTGAGCTCTGTCACCAGCCCAAAAAAGAAATGCTTATATGTGAATACAAGGTGATCTTTTTTTATCATTGAGCTATAGGATAATATTTCATCTAACCCCTTTTTATTGTTAATAGACTGGCTCCCAGAATACTGTTTTTCCATGAGCAATTTAATATTATTGATAAACCTTCTTGATCTTTTTTATTGCTACATTTTATGTATATATACTAACAACTTCAGAATGTGCACCTCTACGTGGTTTACCATTCTTTTTCATTTTTTCCCCATTATCCTCCCCTCCCTTTGAGCCCACTTTTCCTTAAAATATTTACAAAACTGGGGCTGGGGATCTAGCTTAGCATCATAAGTGCCTGCCTGGCAAGTGCAAGAGGATCCATTTGACCCAGCTATTCCCCTTCTCTTCCTCCTCCTCCTTTTTTTTTTTTTTTTTTTTGGTGGAACTAGGGATTGAACTCAGGCCCTTGTGCTTGCCAGGGAAGTGCTTATTCTACTGAGCCATCTCCCTGGCCCCTAAATGTTTGTTGGCCCTTTAAATTTTTTTTTTTTTTTTCAGTACCAGGGATTGAACTCAGGACCCTGCGCTTGCCAGGCAAGCACTTATTCTACTGAGCTATCTCTCCAGGCCCTATAGTTTTTATGATAATATCCGGAAACTATAGCTACAAGTCTGGTGTTGCTGTAGCAGAGAGAAGCAATCTAGCATCAGAATTTCACATGAATCTGCATGTGCAAATGGGGTTTGTGACAAAGGCATGGAGTTTATATCTGAAGAAACAACCTCAATTCAGCTTTCACAAGAGGAGCGCAAGTACTGAGGGTATGAGTGTCAATGTTCTTACAAGAAATATGTATGGGATTATTTAGGAGGCAGTGACCCTGGAGGACGTAACAGTGACCTTCACCAAGGAGGAGTGGGCTCTGCTGAATCCATCACAGAAGAAGCTCTACAGAGATGTGATGTGGGAAACACTGAGGAATATAAATGCTGTAGGTAAGAATAACATTATTTTCTTATATATACAATGAGAGAGCATTGGTTCTATTTTTTTTTTAATTTTTATTTGTGTGTGTGTGTGTGTGTGTGTGTGTGTGTGTGTCCAGCTCAGCCCACCAGGGGGCGGGGCTGACTGGCATGTGGTGCTGGGGGATTGAACCGCGGTCCCTGTTCTTTGCTAAGCTTGTTCTAAGTAGGTGCTTTAGACCACTGAGCCATCTCACCAGCTCCCCCTTTTTTAAAAATTTTATTTATTTAGAGCATTGGTTCTTGCTGATGAGCACAGGTTCATGAAATAGAATGGTCAAACATTTTGAACAAAATCTCAGGCTGTTTTCATTATACCATGAATCTTAACAGATGACTGCTAATTTTTACTATAATAATATGGTGACTTTTTGTATTTCTATGGCTATAATTCAGGAAGGACTTGGGACAACCAGCAAATGGAAGAAAAATACAAAAATTGCTCAAGAAATCGAAGGTAATTTGCAATCATAAGGAAAAGCAATATATTTAAGAGTCAGTCTGTGATTAGAAATATTACAAGCAAACTTTACAAATTAGGCCGTGTTCAAATTTATTTACTCTCACAAACATTTTCCTAGTATGCACAGGTTGGTTTAGTGTAATTTGAGAATTGAATTGAGAATATTCCAATATGAGAAACTAAGTTAGGACTGGGGAGATAGTTCAGTAGAATGGCCTGAGTTCAAGCCCAAGTTCTGCAAAAAAAGAAAAAAAGAAAAGAAACTAAGTTAGTAGTGGCATTATGTGAGAAGAGACACTATCTCATACATTGGTACAAAATAATTCTTTCATAGTATCATGAAAATGTATGAAGTTGCATTTAGGTATTGTATATAGGCATATATGAAAAGCATAAATCTTGAACTTTCGCAGGAACTAATCTTAAAGTTATCTATCTATCTGTCTATCTATATGAATATGAAATACACATCTAAAAATTGCTAACTCGGAAGCAACATTCAAAATGCACATGAGGGGCCAGGGAGATGGCTCAGTAGAATAAGTGCTTGCCTGGCAAGCGCAAGGGCCTGAGTTCAATCCCTGGTTCTGGGGAAAAAAAAAAAAAGCAATTGTTTGCAATCATATTTTAAAATTCTTTTAATGCTCCCTCAGACATTTTTTTTATTTAATTTTTTTATAGTACTGGGGATTGAACTCAGGACCCTGCACTTGCCAGGCAGGTGCTTATTCTACTGAGCTTTCCCTGGCCTCCTCATGCGTTATTGTTAGGAATAAAAAAAAACAGAACCTTTTTTATTCAATGTGTAGTTTTCTTAAAAATTAAAAAAAATAAGTTTGCATTTGATCCAGGCAAAACTCCATCTGTATATTCTTAAAGGATTTAAATCTATCATATCTCACTCATTACTCAAAGTAGAGTATGGGTGTGTATTCACAGTAGCTAAACTCTAGAAATAATTCACAAGACCTCAGCTGTGGTGACAACATAGATGTCAATCATTGTATGCATGGAAGGGAGACTGGAATAGGCTGAACGGAGTGGAGCCTTCTTATGTTCGAAGCACTCTGGTAAGCTAATCCAGCAGGATAACAGTATAATGTTCATCCTGACCAAATGAATTAGAAATGAGACTCTCTCTCAAAATTAGAAGAAAAAACCCCCCAAAACCTAGACATGTATTTTATTCCTCAGATCCTTCTTTAATTCTCAGCACTGAAACAAATGTGGCATATATATATGCAGCCAAAAAAGAACACCATATTTTCTGGTAAATAAAAAAAGGAACTCCAGTTCATAATACTAAATAAAATAAGTCAGATATGGAAATTGAATTATCAAGTGTTATTTTTAAACTAAGTTATTAAAACATAAATTAGACAGTAAAATTAAGAAGTACAGAAGGGTTGAGTGATGGGGGAAAGGTGGCAAAAATTACAAAGTATACATGTATCAGTGACTTACTGAAACTTGACCTTATGCCTCTCAAACATATACCAATTTAAAATTCCCAAATGAAAAAAAAAAAAAAAAAAAAAGATTCCCAAATGAATAAAATCCATTGGAAACAAATGTTTTGAAAGCATCCCCCAGGCCATTCAGCCTACTTGTTCTAAAAATACTTGTTCTAAAAATTTCTTAATAAGCAACCAGCCAAAACTTTTCCTGGTAAATTATTGATACGGAGACATTTTTATTGTTATTGACAGTTTGTTCCCTTACAGAAATGAAGAGGTAGCAGAGTGCTGTCAATATAAAACTTGGAATCAACAAGAAAGCCTATTCCTTTGGACGGCAAATTCTAATGTGGACATTCAAGAAGCTGCTTTGAAGCTTGATTATAGAGAACCCTTGATTAGGCATTTATTATTAACCGTACCCATCTTACCTCACCCTGGAGAGAAACCACATGAGTATATGGGATTTAATGACAAGCTGAGTAATTGTAATGAATGTGGAAAAACCTGCAGTGATTTCCAGTTCTTTGCGAAACATGCAACAACAAAGACTGGAGAGAAAATCTATGAAAATGAGCAGTGTGTGAAAGCCTACTCTGAACCTGATGAAAGAACTAACCCTATAATGAAGACCATTATTGGTCAGAAAAGCATGAAAGCTTCCACCACCTACAGGGGTTTTCATGAGAGATTTCACACTAGGAAGACACCATATATATACAAGCAGTATGGAAAAACCTTCAATACTCAAAGTTTTAAAACTCATGAAAGGAATCATATGGAGGATAAACCCTATGTATGTAAGCAATGTGGAAATGGATTTGCATGTATGTTTGCATTTCAAAAACATAGACGAATCCACACTGGTCAGAAACCCTATGTATGTAAGCAATGTGGGTCATCATTCACAAGATACAGTCAATATCAAAGTCATGAAACTACTCACAATGGGGAAAAACCATATGTATGTAAACACTGTGGAAAAGCCTTTGCCAAACTCAGTTATTATCAAATACATGAAAGAAATCACACTGGGGAGAAACCTTATGTGTGCAAACAATGTGGAAAAGCATTCACTACAAAGAATTATTCTATAATACATGAAAAAATCCACACAGGGGAGAAACCTTATGTGTGCAAGCAATGTGGGAAGGCATTCGTTACACAGCAGTATTGTCAAATACATGAAAGAACTCACACTGGGGAGAAACCCTATGTGTGCAATCAATGTGGAAAAGCATTCACTATAAGAAGTAATTATAAAAGACATGAAAGAACCCACACTGGGGAGAAACCTTATGTGTGCAAGCAGTGTGGGAAAGCATTCACTACAAAGCATTACTACAAACTACATGAAAACTTTCATGCAGGGGAAAAACCTTACGTGTGCAAGCAATGTGGAAAGGCATTCACTATACACCAATCTTATCAAAGACATGAAAGAACTCACTCTGGAGAGAAGCCTTATGTTTGCAAGCAATGTGGAAAAGCATTTACTACAAAGACTTATTCTGACATACATGAAAAAATTCACACAGGTGAGAAACTTTATGTGTGCAAGCAGTGTGGGAAGGCATTCACTACACACCAATCTTGTCAAAGACATGAAACAAGTCACACAGTGGAGAAACCTTATGTCAGCAAGCAATGTGGAAAGGCATTCACTGCAAAGAGTTCTTACAAAATGCGTGACAGAACTCACAAAGATGAAAACCCCTTTCCGCGTGGCATGTGAAAAATTTTATTAGGTCTAGATTTTATAGACACAGACCCCAACTGGGGAGGAACCCTATGTAGATAAGCAATGTAGGGAATCATTCACTGAATCTATTTTTTTTTTTTTATCAACTCCATGAAATAAATCACTGGAGAGTGACGCTACATATGCAATCATACTTTTTAAAGCCTGTGAAAATTCCTCCTGTAGTGGAGACTTGTACACATATAAATGAAAAATTTGATGTCAAGATTTTCGTAGGTTATCTAGAACGTACATTCCCAGAGGATCTAGAATGTATTCTTTTTGTGTTTTTTTATTAAATCATGTGTAAATGACTGGACTGTGTATCTGTAGTCTTTACCAGAAACAGTATTGACATAATATATTTTCACATAAGCCATTGTCTTTGAACTTAATATATAATATCTTCTAATAAAAGAAGGTGAAATAAAATGTATTTCTCACTGCCAGTAGATTGACCCAACTTTTGTAAGTAGGGGCAGTGTTTATGTGGTTTTGATTTTTGTTTTGCATTAATATGGGGAGATATAAATGGTTAAAAAATTTTATTGCTAGTTTTGTAATTAAGATAACCACTAACTTGGATGATAATTTTCTTTGTGTACACATTTCATATTCTGTGTACAAAAAGACAATTTTGAATTGAGTGTTGTATATGTAAATTTATGCATATTGAGAAACATGAACATGTATTTTTTAGAAGCTTCTTTGTTTACATACAAATTGTAGATTAGAAAATTTTTTATATCCTAACTAGATACGTGCATATATCCCACCATAATTGTATAATACATGTAATTTCACCTATTTTAATTTTATATTGACTACTATGATTTATGTAAAATTTTGTTTTAATATTTTAATTTTCATGCTTATATTGATATGACTGGTTATAATTTTGCCATGATTTATATCCAGAAAATTAGCTATACTGCTGTGAATTTCTGATTGTGCTACATCAGAAGAACCATACCTTGTCTAATAAAGAATATCATGAACTATAATATTGTATCAGTCAGTGTTTACTAGAGAAGCCATTTTAATCAGAGATACACAGATATGTAAGAATGTACAAGATTGGTTTATAACCCCTGCCCACTTGCTCAAATATAGAAGAGTGCAGAGAATCTGCTTGTATACTGGATATACAGAAAAAGCCAGAAACCCTGGAGCCCGCTGCAGTGTCCCAAGTGAGTCTGTACCAGAAGACTGAGTGGTCTGAGCTGAGGCTCAAGAGCCTGCTGGCAGCCAGGAGATGGCTTCCAACGTGACAGTGAAAACGGGATCCTCCGCAGAAACACACATAAGCCTTGCTATTTAGTTCACGATTTATAGCATTCTGTCAACAGTCTCTTCTAGGGTAGAGCTTCCACATCCACAGTTTGCTAGGCATACTTGGGCAGGTTGTACTCAGCTTGACACAGTTAATTGCTACTATCTACCTTCAATCAACTTCACAACTACACACATTTCTTTATATGTTCTTTGGATACTAGGATGTGCTCTCTACCAAGAATAAAAGTTTTCTTTAGGTGATAGTCCTCTAACGTTTCATTCCTGGAACTCTGTAACAGGTTTATTAAGACACTGGGAGGATATTGGGAAAGAACTACTACAGTCCTTACTTCTGTAGCTGATCGTGAAGCCAAAGCTTGTATTTAGAATGGCTTGTGGGGTGGTGGGGGGCCCAACTGAGGCGTCTGGGAAGGGGCTGGCAACTCCAGCGGCGGTCATGGCGTATCACGGCCTCACGGTGCCTTTGATCGTGATGAGCGTGTTCTGGGGCTTTGTTGGCTTCGTCGTGCCCTGGTTCATCCCCAAAGGTCCCAACTGGGGAGTTATCATCACCATGTGGGCGACCCGTTCAGGTTGCTGCTGTCTCTTTTGGTTGATTGCAATTCTGACCCAACGCAACCCTCTCTTTGGACCACGGTTAAAAAATGAAACCATCTGGTATCTGAAGTATCATTGGCCTTGAGGAAAAGGACGTGCTTCACAGTGCCGAGCCACTGAGGTCACGAAGAAAATTCTTTCTAGATGCAGAACCACCTCCAAACCCAGATCGCCTTCTTTGGTCCATTTTGGGCATCGGCTGCCTTAAACAAACTAAGTTCCCACCACATTTGAAGATCTTTTTCTACAATTCAGTATTTTTTCCTGCCTCTTTTATACTTTGATGAGAGATGTGCCTCCTTCACCTACGCTGTGCTGTGCTAACTACAAAATGTGTGTGTACTCTTCTGAGGGAGAAGGTGCTGCTCTTCTGGGAACTCTGTTCCTCTCCCCTTGGCATCTGAGGATTTGGAAATAGCTCCTGCCAGCTCACGACATAGGAATCGGCAATCTGTTGAAGAACTGCTGCAAGACAAATAAGACTCCAGTGGGGCAGTTAGTAGGAGACTGTGCTCAGCAACCTCCGTCCTAACAGATTTACACCGAGCTATATTTTCAGGATGAATTTCTTATATCTGCCATCTTTTGGAATAAATTATTTTTCTGCTTTCTATGGAAAAAAATAGAATGGCTTGTATGACCTATTCTGTATTCCTTGGCTTTCTGTGAGCACTTCAAGTGGGCTTTGTGCTTTTTCCCTGATGTGGCCACACTTATTTTTCATTCCTGAAGGTTGTGGAGCATTATTTTGCCTCAGTTGGATTGTTATCATTTGGTCTGACAATACTAGGTGACTCCCTATGTGATCTCCTGCACTCTAAGTATATCTTTCTTTCCTTCTTTGTGGAGTGATAGTGTGATTTTTACTTTACCGTCTGGGTCAACCACCTCGCTAAACACTAACTCCATTTTTTCTTTCTTTAGAGTCATAAGCAGAACAAAAAGATCAGGGGAGTCTTCACTCTCAATTTATAGTTATCACTGTGTGTCCTGGCAAAGCCTCTCCCCCTTCTCCCCTCTAAAAAAAATAAAACAACTTTCTAAACCACCAGAACACAAGATCATGAGAATAGGGTGCAAATTTTTGCTAATAGATCACTATGGCTAACAGTGGATACCATTCTTACTTCTACCCCTTCATTCATGGACCCACGAATCCCGGCTATGGGAGAGATAAGCATCATATAGTGGTTGCTGACTCAAAGCATACACGGCCTTTTGAAGAACCTTGTCCCAGTCCTACAATAAGTTGCTACTTAAGTGGTGCTGGAAACATGTTTTTCAAAGATCATTCTAAGTTTCTATCCTCAGCTTCTAGATGGTGAAGTACATGGTAAGACCACCTGGTTCCATGAGCATGAGACCACCACATCACTTCTTTGGGAATCAAATTTATTCCCTGGGGTCAGAGTCAGTGCTGTGTAGAATTCCATAATGGTGGATAAAGCAACATGTACATCTATGGATAGATGTTTTGCCAGAAGTATGATGTAGGAGAGTTAAATCCATATCTAGAAAAGGTATCTATTCCAGTGCAGATAAAAGTATACCCCTTCCCTGATGGAAACCACCCAATATAATCAACCTGCTTCCAGACTGAGGACTGATTACCCCAGGGAATAGTGCCATATTGGGGAAAATGTGTTGGTCCATGCCACCAGCATATTGGGCCTGCAGCAGTGGCTGTAACCGGAACAGCCTCACTGAATGGGAGTCCATGTCACTGAACATGCACAACCTTTATTCTTGCTGACATGCTCACCCTGTTCATGAGCCCATGAAGCAGTAAAAGGGAGGAGCTGAAGAGAGGAGATGTCTACTATGTAAAGAACAGGTAAACTTATCCAATTGATTGTTAAAGTCGTCTTCTACTCAGGTCACCTTTTGGTGAGTTTATGTGGAAATCAAGTAAGATACATCCATTGCCTATATAGATAGGTCTATTCACATTTTTCATCCTCAAATAATCTTTGTTACCAGTTTTCCACTTAGTTCCTCCACCTTTCTGAACACCCAACTAGACCATTGGCTGTAGCCCATTAATCAGTATACAGTTGTATATCTGGCCATTTTCCTCCTGGGCAAAATGTACTACCAGGTACACTGTGTAAAGTTCTGCCCACTGTGAAGGCTTATTTTCACCAGGTTCAAATAGCGATTTTCCTGAAATGTGATTGCAGTGCTGTTGCTATCCACTTGCATTTGGTGTTTAAATAACATGCATAACCATCCAAAAACAGTGGCTAGCTGTTTTCCCCCTAACAGCTGAATTTATGGTACAATCAATGTGCAGAAGGTACAGGTGTAGGGTCCATGAACATCTGATGAATTTCTTCATGTAATAATTTATTTCTACTCTCTGAACCTGCTCTTTTGTAATTATACATAAAGTTTCCATTTAATGATAGGCTGTTATTATGCAAATATAATTTATGACTTGGTGGATCAGACAGTTCCCAGCTGAAGCTAAGCAGCTCAGGTTGCAAGGTAACATGGTGTCCCATGGCCAAGCCCTCACCTTCCACTGTGGCCCAGTACCATGCCAAGAACTGTTATTTTAAAGGAGAATAATTGCAGATTATACCAGTCTTGTCCCAAAATCTTAAAGGGCTCCATCACAATTGAAATATGAAGGCCTGCCAGAGACTACAAACAGCATTCCTACTGGCCATTGGCACTTGAAATATGGCTGGATTTGCTGGATCATATGATCCCAGTGGCAAAGCAGCCTGCACAGCAGCATGGACCTGTTACAGAGACCCCATTCAAACTTAGAAGCTTTCTGAGTCAGTAAATGAGCTGCATGAAGCACCAAGTGAAGAAGGTGTCCTTCTAATATCCAAGAGGTCCATTAGGCCTTGTACCTCCTTTTTGTTTGTAGGAGAACTCAGATCCACAACTAATCTTTTACCTTAAAATGTCCCTCATGATTCAACTCCTAGAAATTTCACTGAGTTAAAGAACCTTGAATTTTACTATGACTTATATTCCATTATCTGGCTCTCAAATTTTTACTAATGTTATGGTCAGGAGTTTCAAGGAAAGCAGTACATGACACATAATTTATAAAAGTATCTTATCCAAGTCAGCCAAACAGTCAAATACAAAGGAGCACTGTAAATCTATGCACACACTAAGTACCTGAAGAATCCAGCTGAGGGCCTGGATCCCATAGCAATGTTCTACATGAGTGCAGCTGAAGATCTAGAACCCATGATGATGGATTCACCCAGTGAATCCAACTAGAAGTCTAGAGCCCATGACAATGTCTCATGTAAGTCTGTTTCAAGGATCTGAGCTTGGAAGGGTCCAAGGTCAGTGGTGGAAGCTAGAAAGTCTATACCAGAAGGATAATGAATCTTTGCCAGCATGCTGAGGGATCTGCACTGAAGCCAGGACATGGCACTTCACATAAGAACCAGAGCTCCCCTGAAATGTACCACAGCCATCCCCGGTGACAACAAGGTCTGAAGCTCTTTTGATCATGAGAACACCTGAGGTCATATCAGGAAATCCAGCCCAAGTTTCTCCAGGAGATTGAAGAGTGCATCGTCTTCCCCTCCAGAGCCAGGAAGTGATGCTGAAGTAAGGACCAAAGCTCCCCTAAGCTGGACCATATCCATTGTCAGTGATGCTAAGGTCCTGAGCTCCTCTGATGATTAACAGCCAAGTTCATATCAGTAAAGCCACCATGACAAGCTCCTCTAAGAGAACCAACAGCACCTCTCCAGTTCTCCTTTTATGTTGTTGGCAAAAAATCCCCAGGTGGGCCCTCCACACCCAGCACCACGCTGATTCAGTTCAGCTAGGCATTGCAAGTTGAAAACAAGTTGTAAGTCCAGTCTACTACAACTAACAAATCTGGAGGAGTTTCCA